ATCTTTCATTTTTCGCATTGTTACTTCTTCAGAGGGAAAAAAAAAATAAGGAGCTCATAAATGTCATTTTTCATAATTCCAAGCAATTTGCTATAGGAAACCCATTACTTTGTACAAATAATTTACATAAATCATTTTGAGAAGTTTTATCTGGGCAACATTATTTGGTTCCCAGGCACAAATTAAAAGCATGCTTAAAGCAGAATATTTAAAGTTATTCCTATATTGTTTATGAGACAGGATTCGAACATTTCCATATATTTTTCTTTCATAATGGCATTCCTTTAGCTTCCTTGTACATTTAGAAACCACATATATATTTCCGGGGGGTGGTTCTTGAAGCAAGCCATGCGGTAGATGACTGGCCCGTTGGTATTTTTTCGGCACCATCTCTTTGATTTCGTGTGTTCGGTTTTAACACTCATTTAGGAAGGCCAGGAACTAGGGATGTCAATACAGCCGCATGAGTAGATGGTTGTTTGATAATATTCCACAGTCAAACTGTCTTTGATTGTGGCTCAGCTTTTAAAAAATTAATAATAAACAAATTTGCAATAAACTCCTTGAACTCAGTTTCTTCTGGCGTTGGTGTTGGATGCTGTTTGGTTAATGCAGAGCACATGGAAGTCTTCACTGGCTAGAGTTTTACTCCACCTACATTGCAAAATCAAATCATTTCTTCTATGTGAAATACAGTGCCCAGTTTTAACAGGCTGTACTTGTCAACGTCAGGGTAGAGGAAGGTGGAAGGGACTGACAGGAGCCAGGAATCATGCATTCAGCCCGGTCTTCCCGCTGCTCTAAAGCAGGTGTCCTCCAACTACGGCCGCAGGCACATGCGGGTGTTCTTGCGCGTTTGTTTTTTTTATTTCAAATAAGATATGTTGCCGTGTGCATAGGAATCTTGTTCATAGTTTTTTTTAAACTATAGTCCAGCCTCAACAGTCTGAGGACAGTGAACTGGCCCCTGTTTAAAAGTTTGAGGACTCCTGCTCTGGAGAATCACACGCTGACTCTGAGCCTTGCCTTCTCATTGATGTCACCAAGGGCTGGACTCACCGCTCAGGGCTGTAACTTCCTACTAATGTGTGGTCTGAGAACAGATTCTCAGGCCTACGTCAAGAAAGTTGGGCCCCATGTGGTCAAGGGTGCAATATTTGCAAAGGTGGAGCAAGGCAGCCCCATGGAGTGCTTAAGAGCACAGAGTGTACAGACTGGGTTCAAATCAACAAGCCAAGTCAAAGCCACTTGCTTAGCAATGTGATTGTGAAAAAACCAAACCTTTCTGGCCGGGCGCAGTGGCTCACGCCTGTAATCCTAGCACTCTGGGAGGCTGAGCCAGGCGGGTTGCTCGAGGTCTGGAGTTCGAAACCAGCCTGAGCAAGACCCCATCTCTACTATAAATAGAAAGAAATTAATTGGCCACCTAACATATATATAAAAAAAAATTAGCTGGGCATGGTGGCGCATGCCTGTAGTCCCAGCTACTTGGGAGGCTGAGGCAGAAGGATCACTTGGGCCCGGGAGTTTGAGGTTGCTGTGAGCTAGGCTGCCACCACGGCACTTACTCTAGCTCTGGGCAACAAAGCGAGACTCTGTCTCAAAAAAAAAAAAAAAAAAAGCCAAATCTTTCTGTGCCTCTGTTACCTCACCTTACAATGAAGAGATTATGTGTACCTACCTTGTAAGCTTCTTCTGGGGATTAAATGAAGCAATGCAGGAAAAAATCTTAGAGCAATGTCTGAGTCTTAGAAAAGGCTCAAGAAACAGTAGCTACCATTAACCTTAAAGGGTGACGACTAGGGTCAAACCAGGGCGATCATACCCAGGACATCTCCGGTGTGAAAGAGAGAACCGTGTAATAATCATGTCCTGTGCATTGGCATGTGCCAGGACTGTCCCAGGCACACTGGGACCTGTGTGACAACCCTGTGTCAAGATTCGATAAAGAAATGAATTTTTTGGTAACCATTATATCTTACCTATTTTACAATTCATTATACCTTTTAAAGTTTTCATACCTCTTATTTGAACTTTTCATAAAGTTATGTGGGAAAATGTAGGACTGGATTAATTACCCTTTACTAATGAGGAAACAAAGGCACAGAAAAGTATAAACTTTCCCACAGTGACCCAGTGTGGCAGGGCGGTGGGGACTCCAAGAACCCTGTGAGCCTGCTGGCAGAGAGGCAGGGTCATGTGACTAGTTCTGGCCAATCGACTATGGGCGTGGAAGTATCCTGAGTCACTTCTAGTCTAAGGCACTTAAGAATGGCTGTGAGTTCTCAACCCTTTTCCTCATAGGTTGCAGCAATCAGGAAGCCGTGTTTTGAGATGTAGGTATCACAAGATGGAAGATGCCCGGAACCTCAAACAGTGGATGGAGGAGAGATACGCTGGCCCAATCCAACTCTGGGCAAGTGAGAAACTTTTGTTGTACTAAGCCCCCAAGATCTGGGGTGTACGTTTCACCCTTGTATGCCACAGCCTGCCCTGGCTCAGCCAGTTAGTAAGACTAGAACCTACATTGCCAACTTCTACTATAGTTTTTATTCAACAGTATCATATAATCCTACCAGAATGGGAAAAAACATATCCAAGACTGAATGCCATAGCTTACTTATGGTAAGCCTTCAATGCTTAACTTGATTTACAATGAAATATTTATTTGGTTTAAAGTAAAATAGCTCATACCTAGAGCCAAGTAAAAATTAAAAAGTTCCATAATGTAAGGTTTGTTTTAATTTGGTGCTGATTTTTTACAATATGTAGGTTAAACCACAAAGTCTGAATGCCTCATTTTAAAGACAATCCTAAGATGAAATTGCCTTGATGTCACATCTAGATTTAATTGAAAGTTAAAGGGACGAATGGAAAAATCCAAGTACAGTGTGACTAGTTTGCTATCTCAACCTAGAAAATCCATTTCTCCCTCTCTTTCCTATTCTAATCCTACTCATCCACCAATCTTATTTTCTTAATGGGGGAAAAGCTCCATACATCAAGTTTTGCAAACACTTGGGTCACACAATAAATTGCTTAGGCCAGGGACTGGCAAAGTTTTTCTTTAAAACGCCATAGAGCAAGCATTTCATGGTCTCCATTGTACCCATTCAGCTCTGCCACTGCAAGGGCCAAAACAGCCATGGATAATCCAGAAATGAATGAACATGGCTCTGTCCCAATAAAACTTTATTCGGGGACAGTGAAATTTGAATACAAATTTCATAAGGTACAAAATCTTATTCTTTCTTAAATTTTTTCCAACCATTTAAACATGTTAACACCATTCTTAGCTAGTTTGTGGTACACAAACAGGCAGGGGCTGTACTTGGCCCATGGGCCCTCTGTAGTTTACTGACCCCTGGCCCAGGCTTGGGGGGTGGGTGGCGACAACGTATTAGGCAATTATCGCAGTGGCAGGAGAACACAAATACTGTTGTTCTAGTTCTTCCACTTCCTGGTGGCTGGTGACCCAGGGCTGATTCCAGAAGGCCCGAGCTCCACAGTTTGCGAGGGCCTCAGCCCCTGCACACAGAGCATGCTAAGGCAGGTGGCGTGTGGCCAGGGCTTGGCCCAACAGGACGAGCAAGAGCCTTGCCTGGCAACTCTCAGCAGTACCTTTAAGACCCAGGGCAGCACAAGCCACATTACTTTATCCAACTCGATAAAAGGCTGAGCGGGAAAAGAGCCAGGGGTGGCAGGACTTGCTGTGCTATCCCCGACTGAACCAGGGCCCTGGGCTCCCCACCCCTGTCTGCCGCCCCAGCTTCAGCCCTGAGACCCTCCCTGAATTCTGGCTTTCAGAACTCTCTTGAATCTGCTCCCAGTGTCACCTTACAAACTCATGTTCTTGGCTTATGTGTCTTCCCTTCAACTCCACTTCTCAGAATTGCAAATTGTGAATCACCAGGTACTGACCTCACAAAGCCTCTGCCTCATCCCCGGGCCTTGACAAGCCACAAAAGCCAGGCAGAGCTCAGAGGGGAGGATGGCAGATGTGTAAGAGAAGAGTAGATAATCAGGTAGACAAGTAGAAACAGGCCAGGCCCAGAGCAGCGGGAATCCCAGCCAGGGCAGAGCAGCAGTGACCACTGTCCCCAGAAGGACATTGCCAGCAAAGGCCCCTTGGTGACAGGGCAGGTGGGGCCTCCCTAACTGGTTCTACTCCAGGATGCATAAGGGACCCCTGAGAGGGAGTCTGGCTCTGGGTGGGACAAGGGATCGGGGTCCTTCAAACCTGGGCAGCCAGGCCCCCCTCTGCCCAGGCTCACAGTGGGCTCATTCCCACCTTCTTGTCAAGGCGCCATGCTACCCCTCGGCCCTCTGCCTGGCTAATCGATGCACAGTAACAAAGCCCAGCTGAGGCCCTTTCTGGTTCATGGATTCCTCCCTAATTATTTCAATCGCCATCCTCAAAGTCTCTCCATTCCTTGAACCAGAGAACTGCCATTAGAACTAGGACCTGGTCCTAAGCCTGGCGCCACCATCTGCCATTCTCTTGTGAGTGAGCCCCGGCCCTTTGGCTAAACTGTGAGCTCCCTGAGGACAGGGGGACACATAACAGATACCCAATAGTATTTAGTGAGCTCAACTACAAGGTACATCACTAGAAAGATTAATACACTTAAGGAAAACTATGAGTTTCTGAGAAAGAAAATAATTTAGGGGCACTATGACAGTAGAAGTGGGTTTCTACATGAAAACTCCCAGCAAATGTTCCCGGTGGCTTTGTGTGTCTCCAACTCTCACCAGAATTTTAAATAAAGATGTGATTCAATGTTTTCAATCATCTTAATGCCTAAATTGGATTGACCACATTGTCAAGTCTGATCAGCTGCACAAATTGATCATTAAGAAGATTGGGAGAAGGCGGAGAGGGTCCGAGTTGATGGAGAAACAATCAATTTGGCATTTGCATTTAAATATAGCTTTGGCATTTCATGTATGGGATGCAATCTAGGCAAGGTGTGGCGAGCTGGGGAAGGCCGTGTGATTACCTGAGTCGGAATGGGTCCAGGAAACCGAGGTCAGCATCGCTCCGTCACAGACACGACAGAGGGGCCCCCATGATCACGCTGGTCTCCTCGAGGCTGGCAGGGAAGAGCAGTTGGAAGTCAGAACCCAGGCAGAAGCAGCAAAGAGCCCTCGCACCCACCATGGCTGTCATCTCTGGCCTGACTCTAGAAAATGACGCACTTCAGTGAAAAAGCCAATTGTGACAGTACCTCTTTCTTTCTTGGATCGTTAATAAAAGGCTGAGTCTTTCATGATGGAGTGTTTTTGAAACTGCCTCGCGGGGCATACGAGGACCCAGAAATTTGAAAATACACGCCATAGACATTGTGGGATTCATTTATTTTACCGCAACTGACACTGAGATTATTTTCTCTTCCTATAGCTGCTGCTCAAACACTTGTCTCTATAAATGGAAATCATCAGAGCTCCAACGAACATTCCAGGCCGGCGTTCCACCCCACAGACCAGCCTTGACCCACGGGGTAGACCAAGTACCAGCCCCCAAAGTCCACACCTCTCTATCTTGCTGTCGTAAAATGAAATTCCTCAGGCTCTCATCCTGAGGACTCACTAAATGGGCTGCAAATTATTGGGGCACAATGAACCAATAATCTTGCAAAATAGGGAAGCTGGTACATGAGATAGATTGCATAATAATTTCTGATGGGAGCTACTTTTTTAGCCCAGGTCTCAGGGATGACAAATGAATAAACTCTCTAATGAAAAGAATGGTATTGTCCTAAGAGCTTTAGTGTGAGAATGTCAGGAAATATACTCAAAGAACAGTGGTTCTCAAACTGCAGTCCCTGGAATAGCAGCGTCAGTATCACCTGAGAGTTTGCAAATTCTTGACCCTAACCCCAAATCTACTGTATCTGGAGGTGGGGCCAGAAATCTGTGTTTCAACAAGCCCTCCATGTGATTCTGACACACCTTAGGTCATTCATTTATCCACCCATTGTAATATAATTGTTCTATTGTTATAAAATAAAACTACCCTACTCCACGTTTAAGCTCCAGTCAAGGACAAAACATTATGCTAGGGGCCAGGGAGGGCCAGAGAGAGAAGAAAGATGATGAAGTTCCTGCTCTCAAGAAGTGCTGCACAAGCAACAGAGACAAACTGTGTCATTTCTTCTAGTGGTTAGAGGGGTTTCAGAGGAGACATTTGTTTCTAGTTAGGGGAGGGGTGGGGACACCAGTAAGGGACAGCATCCTGAAGGCAATGACAATAATAACAGGCCTTGGGATGGGGAAAGGACTTTGATGGGAAGAAACAAATAACAGCAAAACGAAAGGGGGGTGGTGGTGGTGGTGGTGAGGGAGCAGGAGGGCCATTTAGGGGCACGGAGCAACTGGGTCTGGCTGATACATGAGAAACTTGAAGGTGATCTGGGTGAGGCAAGGTTACTTCCAAATACAGACGGGTAAAAGCTACTAGGGGCTCCTCTTTCTTGTGTAAAAACTACCTAGCCGGCACCCATGGCTTATGTTTAGAAATTAATGTCCGATAAACTAGGTGGCTTAAAGATGTCTACATCCAATTTACTTTTCTGTACTTTCTGCACAGCATTTTCCCCAGGGGAGAACCTCAGCGGCTTCAAGGATGAACGGCTGAAGGTTTGCCCAGGAGGAAGAACACACAAAAAAATTTTAAAGTAGGCACAAGAATCTGAAAGTCGCAGTAGCCTCGGGCCATCCTGCAAAAGGGCAAAATGTTACCACACCTCAACAGCCCCTGAGGACATCTCTGATTTTAGCTTTGTAAGATGCTGTGCCTCAAGTTGGTTGCGGTGTGACTTAGTCACAAAAAAGGTTAAATTAATACCCCCCATCTCCGATTACGGAAAAAAATTCCTTTCATGACCAAGAAGGTATGGCTTTTGCTTCTAGAAAGCAGACATAAATAGAAGGTTTTAATTCCTGCTGTGGGGAGGTGAATGGAGGGTGTGGAAACTGTTTTGGATGGCATACCAAGGCTCCGATTGGAAGGACGCTGGATTGGGGACTTACTATCTGCTCATCTCAGCTCTGCCTGAGTCACTAGGGCCACGCCCTCGAGACCCTGAATATCAGTTTTCCATCTATCAAGGTGGGCCTGCCCCACCTTCTTTGAAATTTAAGTAAGAAAGCAGAGGCCAAGTTGCTGTGAAAATGATAAAGTGCAAAACTACCCAGCGGCACGGAATTATGCCCGTCACTGAGACTTTGGGGTGCTCATGAACACTTGTCACGTGACTGGCCTTTGAAAATATAAACGTGAAATGTTTCTGATGCCCTTGACACTCTCCTCTTAAAATATTTGCAGAGACAGCAGTTCTGAGGAACAGACTTGGCATCAACCAAACCGCTCTCCCAAGAAACATTTCAAGGTAAAACCTTTTACTTGTAAATTTTTCTTTTTTTAAAATGTTACTCCTCTGACCAGGACAGAGCATCCGGTTATCTTTCAGCAGCTCCTGCTGAGCACAACTCAGTCTTCAGCAACAGCGACACACAGGACGCCGATAATTGATCACCTCTGCAGTAGTGCAGTCCCAGATGAACCATTTACTAATTTATTTCCATATGTAACCGGAAGAGAGATGAATCAGGCTTCCAACTCGGCAACCTGACTTGTGCTTTCTTGCCTTAACAGGCTAACTCTGGGCAAAAGGAAGCTCACGACATTTACCTAGAAACCAAGGGCTCCTCTTAAAAAGCCTGACAGCCTCAGTCATAAGCCTCTTGCACATGCAAACACACACGCACCCCTGTCTTGAGACGGCTTGCTCCTATGTCACCTTGGAGGGCTGGTTCCTTCTTTAGGTCCTCATGAACGTCAGGTAGGGGCCGTGTCGGACATGACTGCAGGCAGGGGAGCAGCTCAGAAAAACGTAACCGCCAGAAATCAGTTGTACAGGGGCACGCGATACTTTAGTAGCGGGCGCGGTGGCTCACGCCGTATAGCCTTAACTCCGTGGCGAGCCGGGAGGCGGGGCGATGTACTCAAATCAGTGGTGTCGAAACCAGCCTGAGCGCAAGAGCGGAGGACCCCGTCGTCGTACTATAAATGAGAAAGAAATAATTGGACAAGCTAAAATATAGAATAAATAGCGCCGATGTGTGCGCAAGCTGTACCCAGCAGGCGGGCTGACGGCACAGGGAGGTTGCGTTAGCCCAGGAGTTGAGGTCTGCTGTGAGCTGAGTGGTGGCCATGGCACTCACTCTAAGCTTGGGGCGAAAGGAGTGAGACTCGTGTCTGTCAAAAAGAAGCAAGAGATCAGGTACAGCCACACTCCCCTCCCTCCCTGTCTGCAAGGTCGGGGGCTCGGATTTCTGAAGCTGCAGAGATCTTTCTGCCACGGTGCTGCGCCCAGCTGGCCCGACTGTGCGGTGCCCGGGCACTGGAAAGTATGTGTTTCTTTTTCCATCTTTTTAAGGTCTAACTGACCGAATCTCAGCAGCTGCGCGTTTCCACAGCGCAGCGATGGCTAATGAATTGTTAGCTTAGCTCCCAGTTCCCTGAGCTCAACTCTCAGGCCACTTTTGTTTTTAATTCCATCCCAGGGATAGCAGCCTTGAGTAAGGAGTGGTTAATGGGATTGTCGCTGGACGGCAGTGTTTACGTTAGAAAGCGAGCCAATCCAAACCGGGGAGAAGGGACCCCCGATCGGTGATGCGTTAAGTGGAACCCAAAGCCACTGCCAGGACGGCTCTGCACACAGGACCGTGTAGCGATATCGTCGGTAGTCACACGCTGGGGGCGCTGACCGACCATGTGGCCTTGGAAGAAGCTGTGTAACATGAACCACTGAGTTCAATCCGCCTCCTGTGTAATAGGAGTTTAAGACTCTCTAAGGTTCGCTTCTGGCTCGTAATTTATTATTCTGCTAATATGTGAAAAAAAATCAACCCTCACCGTGGTTACTGGGTTTGGCCAATGCCAATACCGGTGTTTCCCGAAAAATGGAACACGCCTTACCCATAAATAAGCCTAGCAGGAATTTCTAAGCATTTGTACAATAGAAGCCCTACCCTGAAAATAAGACCTAGTGAGTGCGGCGTGCTATGCGGGTGTGATCTGGCACAACCATGCCTTGTCGTCTTTAGAGCAGTAAAGAAGACGAGCCAGCCTTGCTCATCTGCGCCTGAGCATGCGTCTATTCTCCGACATGAGGAGATTAGGAGCCAGTGGTTCTTAAAGCGAATAGAGTTCACCAAGAAATTCAAGATGGAATTCGGGCGTTTGGAGGAGTTATGATGATGTTCCGAGACAGAGATGACTCATAACTATATTTGAATAAATGTAGATGTTTGTACCATACCGTAAAAAAAAATAACACATCCCCTGAAAATAAGCCAGTAGAGGTCTTCTTGGAGGAAAAATAATATAAGACCTTCTTATTTCCAGGGAAACACGCGTACAGGAGGTTTGAAAGCTCTGACAGAGGCTTGACGTGCCAGGTGTGGCAGGACGCAGATGCCGTAGGAACCTCGGTAGCCAATGCACTCTCTTCAAGCAAAGAACATAAGCATTTGAAGACTGCTCAACAATATATGTCTTTAAAGGGTTTTAAGAATTCATTTAGATACAACAGTTGATCACAGTATCGTTCGTACTTAATGGCAACCTGTTAGCGATATCGACACGAGCCCTTGTCTATTAATACGACTTACATACTTCTTTTGTATAAGGGACTGATACCCTACGCTCATAGTTAATAGAGATTAGAATACTTCGCTATCGTCAACCACATCATAAGAAGCAGTTTCTTAAAAACATGGGTAACGGTGGGAGATAACTTGTCCAGTGAGAAGGCGGATGATCTGCAATGGTTTTGTCTGGAGAAACTGTTCATTTAGGCTGGCCTTGCAATAGTAGCGATTGGGAACAACAGGCAGCGACAGACGGGCAATCATAAGGGCAAAGGCTTAGGACCTTCAAGTGTGGTTGGGACACAGCATTCGGACCCTACGGTCAGGCAAGCAGGAGGCAAGGCAAGGGAGGAGTAGTGCAAGAGGACTGGAAGGACTAATGGTGGCAAGCCCTGACCGCTAAGCCGGTGGTCACCCCAACCTTCAGAAGTTACGGGGCAGGTAGAGAGACTCCAAATGAGCTCTGCCTCGGGAAGTTTATTCTGACAATTCTATTACCATTTAAGACTGGGAATAAGATCAGTCTGTCCCTTCATTTTCTCTTACTCATTCCACACTGCCACTATTTGGAATCTCTCAAATTAGTTTTTTTTTTTTCTCTAAACCTAATTTCTGGCCCTTGAATGGAAGCAATGAACTTTCCTATAATACTGCCAAATTTGACATTCCAGGACTGGCTGGCCTGGAGCTTACATTTAGGTTCATGTGGTTTTTTCTATTCTTACGAAAGAGTTACGATTACATGACATAGGCTGGTGTTTGTTTTGGTTGTTTCTACATGGAATATACTTCTGGATGATGAAAAAAAAAAAATACACAAACATTCCAGCTGTTGGAAGGGCCTGCGTAGGCATCCCAAACAGACAAAAGTTGAACGTAGTCATCCGAGTTTTCACTGAAATGCTTTTGATTTCCAGTTGCAGAGTCCCAGGCAATGAGCTCAAGGTTTCCAGGGTCTCTCAAATGCAATAACAGAACGTCATTGAACCTCATACTAATGGTATTTGGTCCCTTGGGCCTTGGAGGGCAAGTGCAGGGAGCGTGATGCAGCTACCACAGGAAGAAGCTGCCCACCAGGATAGGTGGGGCCTGTACCAGGTAAGCCAGGCCTGGGGAATGGGGGCTGCAAAGCTGCCTCCCGTCAGCCCCAAAGATAAGCTGGTGTTTTGAAACTCCACCAAAGCGAGGGTGGGAGTGGGCAGAGGAGCTCATCTTCCATGAAAGGA